TCCAATCCAACTCACTTCATCAGGGCAAGAAAACGTAATCAAAGTCCTCCTGACAAAGAGCCATCCAGACATAGATATAGATAGATAGATTGGGAGTTGTAGTTGCTGGGATTTATAGTTCACCTACAATCAAATAAACTGTAGTCCCCTGACATTAAGTCCAGTCATGTCTGACTCTGGGGTGTGGTGCTCATCTCCATTTCTAAGCTGAAGAGCCAGCATTGTCCGTAGACACCTCCAAGATCATGTGGCTGGCATGACTGCATGGAGCGCTGTTACCTTCCCGCCGGAGCGGTACCTATTGATCTACTCACATTTGCATGTTTTCGAACTGCTAGGTTGGCAGAAGCTAGGGCTGACAGCGGAAGCTCACGCCGCTCCCTGGAATCGAACCTGTGACCTTTCGATCAACAAGCTCAGCAGCTTAGCGCTTTAACCCACTGCGCCACCGGGGGCTCTATCAAATAGCATGATAGAATTGAACCAACCGGGGCATACAGAAATTCCATGACCAACAGAAAACACTAGAAGGGTTTGGTGAGCATTGACCTTGAGTTTTGGAGTCGTAGTTCACCTACATCCAGAGACTACCATGGACTCAGACAATGATGGATCTGGACCAAACTAAGCATGAATATTCCATATGCCCAAATAGGAACACAGATGGTGTTTGGGGGAAATAGACCTTGACATTTGGTAGTTGTAGTTACTGGGATTTATAGTTCACCTACAATCACAGAGTGTTCTGAACCTCACCAACGACAGAATTGGGCCAAACTTCCCACACAGAACACCTATGATCAATAGAAAATACTCAAGGCCATCCAGTCCAACTCCCTTCACCAGTGCAAGAAAATGTAATCAAAGCCCTGCAGACAAAGAGCCATCCAGCCATAGATGTAGATATTAGATATGATTGACACACACACAGATATAGTATCATAGATTTGAAAGGGACCCCTGAAGAAGGACCATTAGAAAACACAGTATTTTCTGTTTGTCTTGGGGTTTCTATGTGGGAAGTTTGCCAAGTCCCCTATGTTATTTAACATCTACATGAAGCCATTGGGAGAGATCATCCGGAGTTTAGAACTATGATGTTTTAATGACGGTCTGTAATATTGATGTTGGAAACCGGCCCGAGTCCCTCGAATGGAGGTGAAAAGACCGGTATACAAAACTACCAAATAAATAAATAAGTTTGAGTCCACAGTGCTCTCTGGATGTAGGTGAACTACAACCCCAAAACTTTAACTCTCAAATGACAAAATGAATACCCCTTCCCCCAACCCCACCAGTATTCAGATTTGGATGTATTGGGTATTTGTGCCAAATTTGGTCCAGTGAATGAAAATGCATCCTGCATATTAGATATTAACATTACAATTCATAACAGGAGCAAAATTACAGTTATGAAGTAGCAACAAAAATAATGTTATGGTTGGGGTCACCACCACATGAGGAACTCTATTAAGGGGTTACGGCATTAGGAAGGTTGAGAAACACTGGACTAGATGCTCTCTGGAGGACCCTCTGCTTTGCTTTCCGAAGCTGTCCATCACCTGAAGGGCCCTCCTCCTCTTCGGCTTCTTTCAGGGATTAATGGGCCACGGCTTTCAGATTCCTCCGCCTATCCTCCTTCATCCCTCCTTCTTCTGCGCCAGAAAAAAAGAAAGGAAGGAGACAGAAGGACAGATCCCTCCTCTCCATCCCAAGCATCCCAATGGGCAGAGAGGCCTGAAGGAGGTGAGACATCATCATCATCCATGCCATCATCTTATACACATATGTTGTGGTTTTCTTCTGAATTGAATGAAAGAGAGATTACAATGGCTAGAAAAAGAGAGAGAGAGAAGGCTCAGCCGGGGATTTGGCAAAGAGGATTTGCAGGGAAGAAAGCGAAGAAGGGAAAGAAAGCAGGAAAGGAAGGGGCCTTTTGTGTGTTTCGGAAGGAGGGAAGGAAGGAAGGGAAGTATAGATTGCAGCAGAAGGCAGATGGATATGTAAATACACACACATACACATACATATCCTGCCTGATTTTTTAATCTATTTATCTCTACTCTATCTATCTATCTATCTATCTATCTATCTACTATCTATCTATCTATCTATCTATCTATCTATCTATCTATCTATCTAATATTACATATCTTGCCTGATTTTAATCTGTCATCACTCTATCTATCTATCTATCTATCTATCTATCTATCTATCTATCATTACATATCTTGCCTGATTTTAATCTGTCATTCTCTATCTATCTATCTATCTATCTATCTATCTATCTATCTATCATTACCTATCCTGCCTGATTTATAATCTATCTATCTATCTATCTATCTATCTATCTATCTATCTATCTATCTATCTATCTCTTCTAACTATTTAATCTATCTATCATCTATCTATCTATCTATCTATCTATCTATCTATATATCTATCTATCTATCTATCTATCTATCTATCTATCTATTGATCTATCTATCTATCTATCTATCTATTCTATCTATCTATCTATCTATCTATCTATCTATCTATCTATCATTACATATCTTGCCTGATTTTAATCTGTCATTCTCTATCTATCTATCTATCTATCTATCTATCTATCTATCTATCTATCTATCATTACCTATCCTGCCTGATTTATAATCTATCTATCTATCTTTATCTATCTATCTATCTATCTATCTATCTATCTATCTATCTATCTATCATTACATATCTTGCCTGATTTTAATCTGTCATTCTCTATCTATCTATCTATCTATCTATCTATCTATCTATCATTACCTATCCTGCCTGATTTATAATCTATCTATCTATCTATCTATCTATCTATCTATCTATCTATCTATCTATCTATCTAATATTATATATCTTGCCTGATTTTTTAATCTATTTGTCTCTATCTATCTATCTATCTATCTATCTATCTATCTAATATTACATATCTTGCCTGATTTTAATCTGTCATTCTCTATCTATCTATTTATCTATCATTACCTATCCTGCCTGATTTATAATCTATCTATCTATCTATCTATCTATCTATCTATCTATCTATCTATCTATCTAATATTACATATCTTGCCTGTACCTATTCTCTATCTATCTATCTATCTATCTATCTATCTATCTATCTATCTATCTATCTATCTATCTAATATTACATATCTTGCCTGATTTTAATCTGTCATTATCTATCTATCTATCTATCTATCTATCTATCTATCTATCTATCTATCTATCTATCTATCTGTCTATCTATTATTACATATTTTGCCTGATTTTAATCTATTTGTCACTCTATCTATCTATCTATCTATCTATCTATCTATCTATGTAATATTACATACCTTGCCTAATTTTAATCTATTTGTCATTCTCTATCTCTCTATTTCTCTATCTATCTAATATTACATATCCTGCCTGATTTTAATCTATTTGTCACTCTATCTATCTATCTATCTATCTATCTATCTATCTATCTATCTAATATTACCTATCCTGCCTGATTTATAATCTATCCTTCCTATCTATCTATCTATCTATCTATCTATCTATCTATCTATCTATCTATCTAATCCATTTGTCTCTATCATCTAGCTATCGATCATATTACATATCCTGTCTAATTTTAAACTATATCTGTCTATTCATCCATCTCTGGATATATATAATACCCCTTTAGATGGCCTTTGGGAGTCCCCTTCCTACTTTCTAGGATTGATACAATTTTTTTGTCATGTCAGGAGTCGCTCCTGTTGTGAGAGAATTGGCCGTCTGCAAGGATGTTGCCCAGGGGACGCCCAGATGATTTGATGTTTTTATCATCCTTGTGGGAGGCTTCTCTCATGTCCCCGCATGAGGAGCTGGAGCTGATAGAGGGAGCTCATCCGCCTCTCCCCGGATTCGAACCTGCGACCTGTCGGTCTTCAGTCCTGCTGGCACCCACTGCGCCACCGGGGGCTCCATTGATACAAATACAGGGACACCACCGCAGGGCTGGCCTAAAGGTGAGGCGACACAATGCCCTGGGTTCATCTCTTCCTTTGAGAACATATTAAGTGCATAAACACACACAAACACACACAGTTTATGTCTTTTATGTATTCTCAAAGGAATATAGTAACATATTAAGGACATAAACACACACACATGTTTATGTACTTAATATATATTCCCAAAGGAATACATACATATTGTTTATGTGCTTAATATATGGTCAGAGAAACAGATGAACAAAAACCCAGGGCGTTGTGTTGTCTTTCCTTAAATAATGTCGTATAACATAATATTATATACACAATTAATATACCAATGTACATTCATCATTTATAGAAAAAGATACCATTTCAATCCCTTCTCCATTCGAGGAGAAGTGTCCAAGGTGCTGAATGCCTCCAAATAAGTTGCATATTTTATCCATAGAAGAAGGGGAAAACAGAGAGATTTGGGGCGGGGGGTGGCATTGTGCCCTAATCTTAATGCAAAATTAGATATTCCACCTGAATATATATTCCCTTCATCCCACTCAAAGGAAGGATATGGAGAAGTGGAAGAAAACTTATGCAACGCCACCTTTTCTGCCTGACTCAATGGCTGCCGTTATGCAATGCTCTGTCCGGGTACCAGACTCTGCCCTGCGGTTGCTATGGTTACCAGCATCTCTCTCTCTCTCTCTCTCTCTCCATCTCCTTTTCATCAACCCCCCCCCCCACATCCTTAGGATTTAATTGAATTGCCCAATTTACCTGTCCGAACGCATCTCCCCCTATGAACCATCATAGAGATTAAGATCCTCCAAGTGGGGGCCCTGCTCTCTGTCCTGCCATTGTCACAGGCACGATTGATGGGAATGAGAGAGAGGGCCTTCTCGGTGATTGCCCCCTGACTATGGAACTCCCTTCCTGGTGAGATCAGACCAGCCCCCTCCCTAGAATCATAGACTCATAGAATCAAAGAGTTGGAAGAGACCTCATGGGCCATCCAGTCCATCCCCCCAACCAATCACTGATATATATTTTCTGTTTGTCGTGGGAGTTCTGTGTGCCATATTTGGTTCAATTCCATCATTGGTGGAGTTCAGAATGCTCTTTGATGGTAGGTGAACTATACATCCCAGTAATAGTTCACCTTGCCGCATTTGCTCCCTTGCCTGGCCCGCTTTGGGTCCGGAGGCGTGTCTGAAGACCCCCCGGCGCTCAACCCGCCTCCTCTCCTCTCCCCAAACTAAAGTGGGCCAAGGGGTGGAGCCGCCGCGCCTGGCCCACTTCGGGTCCAGAGGCATGTCTGAAGACCCCAGCGTGCGCACCAAAAGTCGCCTCTTCTCCTGACTTTCTCTTCAGCCATTGGGACCAAGAGAGAGAGAGAGAGGGAGATGCCCACCTTTCCTGAAGGTAGGCGCAAAAACAAAGGAGGGAGCGGAGGTGGGAGATACCTCCAGCCGGAGGGGCTCTCTCTCTCTCTCTCTTGGTCCCAATGGCTGAAGAGAAAGTCAGGAGAAGAGGCGACTTTTGGTGCGCAGGCTGGGGTCTTCAGACACGCCTCTGGACCCGAAGCGAGCCAGGCACAGCGGCTCCACCCCTTGGCCCACTTTAGTTTGGGGAGAGGAGAGGAGGCGGGTGGAGCGCCGGGGGATCGGGAAAGGGAGCCGGTCATGGGGAAGGGATCGAACACGGAGAACGATTGAGCGCCGGCTCTGCTCACGCACCCAGTGGCCGGGTGGAGCAGGAACGAGAGGGGCTAGGCGAGGCTCAAGGGCCCGGCCCCTTTGGGAAGAGGATCGCCCGGCAGCGAGGCAAGAAAGCCGAGGCTCCCCCCGGACTGCTAGGGCTGTTGTGAGCTGAGGGGGCGCTCCTCAAGTGGCGGTCGAGGGGCATTTACAGAGGCGCCTCTGCACCCCTGGCAAAAAAAAGTGTTCTGCGACCGCTTACTTCGTGTAATGGACGAGCCGCCCCTGCTTCCGCAATGGGCAAGCCAGTGGTTCTCAACCTGTGAGTCCCCAGATGTTTTGGCCTTCAACTCCCAGAAATCCTAGCAGCTGGTAAACTGGCTGGGATTTCTGGGAGTTGTAGGCCAAAACACCTGGGGACCCACAGGTTGAGAACCACTGCATTAAAGTGTCGAAGTTACAGGAAAGAGGGCCAAACTAAAGTGCAGGAGCTTAGACAAGGTCGGACCAATTCTCTGGTGAAACTGCCTAGTGAAACGCACAGCGGAACATCCAAGTTTTTAAGTCCTTGCGGAAAATAGACAGAGTGGGTGCCTGTCTGATCTCCCTAGGAAGAGCTCCAGAGCTGGGGGGGGGGGCACCACTGAGAAGGCCCTCTCCCTTGTCCCCACCAACCGCGCTTGAGACGGTGGTGGAAGCGAGAGAAGAGCCTCCCTGGATGATCTTAGAGTACGTGCTGGTTCGTAGGGGAAGATGTGATCGTAAAAATAGGTAGGTCCAGAACTGTATAGGGCTTTGTAGGTGATAACCTGCACCTTATTATTATATTATATATTATTATTATAAATTGATAGGAGGATGGATAGATAGATAGATAGATACAAGCATGTAGCCGGGGGGAGGGACTTGAGGGGCTTCACCCCCCCCCCCCAAATTCTAAGGGTGGTCCGCAAGAAGGCCTTACTGGTACATTATTTAAACTGTTATGTTTATTCCTATCATGATCTGATCACCATGCTCAAAATAGCCCATACGCATGGGGGTATTGGGATAACGGAGCCCCCGGTGGCGCAGTGGGTTAAACCCCTGTGCAGGCAGGACTGAAGACCGACAGGTCGCAGGTTCGAATCTGGGAAGAGGTGGATGAGCTCCCTCTATCAGCTCCAGCTCCTCATGCGGGGACATGAGAGAAGCCTCCCACAAGGATGATAAAAACATCAAATATTCCAGGCGTCCCCTGGGCAACATAATTGCAGATGGCCAATTCTCTCACACAAGAAGCAACTTGCAGTTTCTGAAGTAGCTCCTGACATGACAAAAAAAATTGGGATAACGATACAAAAGGTTGGCTAGGGTAGATCCTCAGCACCTTCCCCCCCCCCCCCCGCCTTAGTTTGAGGACCCCTGGCATAGATAGATAGATAGATAGATAGATAGATAGATAGATAGATAGATAGATAGATAGATGAAATAGATCTGTCTTTGCATGGATAGATGGATGGATGGGTGGATGGATGGATGGATGGATGGATGGATGGATGGATGGATGGATGGATGGATGGAAAGATGAATGGATAGATCAATACATCCTTGGATGGATAGATACTATTGGAAATAACAACCTTCTCAAGCCTCCACTAGTTATTTGTTGTGAATATAATTGCTTACTATGTTGTATATGTTTATGTTGTTTTACAGTTTTCTCCAACCTCTTTGTTGTGGGAGGGGCTGCAGACCAGAACTGGGCATGTTCAGGACTCAGACTCCATTTCAGATCAGCAGATGCCTTTAAAACTTCAGTGGAGATGTGTCCATTAGAAGACTGCAGAAACAGTTCAGTTTAGACTTCAGTGAGATGTATGCTTAGAGACTCCATTGGACTTTCAGACTAGACAGAGAATCCATTAGACTATTAGAAAACAGAGGTGCTTTGGACTATAGAGAATTGTTTCTATGAATAATGCTCTATGTTACCTACACAGAGAAGCTGCTTCAAATCCAATCTGGAACTGGATTGATAGGCAAAGTACCTGTATGCTGAATACATGAAGTTTGTGAGTAAACCAACTACGTTACTTTTAAAGAAGACTCTCTTGAGAGCATGGTTTAAAGGCAAGTGTATTTTAAGAGAGAGTAGATGTTT